CTAGCTATATGACCTTAAACAGGTAATTTCACCTCTGTAAGCTTCAGTTTCTCATCTATACGATAGAGGTCCTCCTACTATAATAATAGATATTAGTTATTTTATAAAATAAAAAAAAAAAAAGAAAAAAAAAGGTTTGCTGTCCTCAATGAACAGTATTCAAGTCCTAAGTACTTCACTGAGCCAGAAAAATTCCTGACTTCATAGCTCCCTCATCTGAACTCTCAGGGCAATGCCACCTACTTATTTAGTCCTTAATAAGAATCATCAATATTAGAATGCTTGGTATCACCAGGCGCTTTATTTATTTGGGGATTAAATCACAAAATCTCTGAGATTAGCATGATTATCATTTTACTAAGGAAAGGAAACTCCTGAGAGGCTAAATGAGCCATCCAGGGTCACACAGCTAAGTAACAGGACAGAATTCAAACTCAAGGCTGATTCTAAATCCTATGCTTTGTATACCACCCCATGCGATCTGAGCCTCAACGCAGTTTATTTCATTCCTCTGGGTGGAGAGTTGCATGTGCCTTTCTATGCCTTTATAGGTAAGGAACTCCCAGTTCCTGAAGAACAGAGATGGTGTTTGACAGAGTAGACCTTCAGTCAATATTGAATGAATCAGTGAATAGATGAATGAATCGATGCTTTGAGATTTCACCTCCATCTTTGAGCACTGCCTTTTAGCGGCACCTAGGCAATCAAAGATCAAAAACTTTAGAAGTCCAAGCAAGTGAAAGAATCACTGTAGCAAACCATGTTCTCTCTCCCCTCCAGCTGTAAGCACACTCAAAAGAAGAGAGGTAAATGAGAGAAACTGTGAGCCCAACTTTCCTTTCCCACCAGGCCCTGGCATGCTATGGCATTCATGCTATGGCATTCCATTGTTGCCTATTGTTTATTGCTTGTGCCAAGGAGTACTTCCTCTCTGGTTGGCTTCCTCTGTGGTCATCGGCCAAATGACTGCTGGGTTCCAGGATGGCTGTAAAGCTTTTGCCAATTCCTCGCAAAGAGTCTAGCTCCTTCCTCCCAGGCCCAGGCTCCACCAGGAGGACCTTCTTGAATGATGGGTCCCCAGGGCCAGACAGAACAGACTCCCTCCCTTATTCCTCATCAAGTTAGAGAGAGAAGAGCTAGCATTCCCCAACTGCCTATGAACATATACATCTACTACCTCTACTGATTCCTGAGCTGACCTGCCTTGGCTTCAAGAGGGCCAAATGCTTAATTCCTTGAGTTCAAATCTTTTTCCCTGTATTTTTTCACCTATGGGGTCCACCTCTGTCCCTCTGACCCACAGAACATGACTGCCCCCTTCCTTATTATGACATTCCTTCAGAGGTCTGAAGACAGAAAGCATATCTTCCTTGAGTCTTCTCTAAACTAAATACTCTCAATCATCCCAAACAGAGTAGTGCAGTGCAGGAAAAGTATAGTTTTGTGATCAGAGTTGTATTCAAAATTCTGTATCACAACTTACTAACTACATGACTAGGGTATGTTCTTTCACCTCACAGAGGCAAGATCATTGTGAGGATTAAAGAACCTAGCCAGGGATAGTCCATAGTACATGTTCAACAAATAATACTTCTCAAGATAACACTGATGGGAAGTCATAGACTTCTTGGTTTCCAAGTCTCTCAAAGGCTTTGTTTGGGAAGTAATAGCATTCAGAACTAACATACGAATCTGGCCAGGGTTCCCTACTATCTGGGCTTCCCTCAAAACCACCCCCACAGCACACAAACCAAACCAACACCAACAAAACACCACCAGCACTGAGGCTTTTTGAAGTTAATAAACCTCTTTGTTCAAGAATGTTTCTGCCCCAGGCTCCAAATCATGCCTTCCTCACCCTCCACAGCCGTCCCCCTGCAATGCAAATGTACAAAGCCCCAGTGTTGAGGGTAGGGGATGGCATCATCTGGTGTGGGAGGGGGAATGAGTAGAATCAGGGCTCTTGGAAGGAGTATAGGTAAGTGTCAAAGGAGCCTCTGGCTCCCAGCTGGTCCATAAAATCTGCACTGACTGACCCCCTCCCCCTCAAATAGCTGCTATCCAGAATGATACTGCTGTCTAAAGCAAAGGGCCCAAAAGCCTATGTGTTATATGGACACCTCCTTCCTTTTGTCTTAGAGACAGTAAAAAGCCTGTCAAGGAAGAGATGATCCCCCTGCCAACTAGTCCTACCCCTTCACATATGCCAGCAGCTGGTCATACTCAAGTGAGGTATTTCCCTCCTTTGTACAGAAAAGGATTGTCTGAATTCCCAATACTGGGAACAGAAATGGGAGAGAAGGAGATATAGAATGCACAAATAAATGACAGAGATAATTTTTCGAGAGGTAACAGATTTGAGAAACAACTTAGGCATTGTACAGATGAGAAACTGAGACCCAAAGAAAGGAAATGTTTGTATCACAGAGAGTTAATGACAGAGCCAGCCCTAGGGCCCAAGATTCATGACTTTCTTTTTTTTTTTTTCAGACGGAGTTTCACTCATGTTACCCAGGCTGGAGTGCAATGGCGCAATCTCGGCTCACCGCAACCTCTGCCTCCTGGGTTCAGGCAATTCTCCTGCCTCAGCCTCCTGAGTAGCTGGGATTACAGGCACGCGCCACCATGCTCAGCTAATTTTTTGTATTTTTAGTAGAGACGGGGTTTCACCGTGTTGACCAGGATGGTCTCGATCTCTTGACCTCGTGATCCACCCGCCTCGGCCTCCCAGAGTGCTGGGATTACAGGCTTGAGCCACCGCGCCCGGCTGGCCATACCACCCTGAACGCGCCCGATCTCGTCTGATTCATGACTTTCTATCCAGGTCCTTTTGATTTCACTAGGCTGTCCCTTTGAAAGTTCTCTAATATAACCTGCATGTGAAAGGAAAATGCAAAACACAATTATAATTAGAATGCATTTAGTCATTCCAGACTAGCACTGTAATCACTTGTGAGCTATATGAATGCAACTATATCACTTTAATTGTAATAAACTTGTATTTAAATATTCCTCAGAATAATTTGTAGTTTCACAAATTAAGTAGCAATGATTATACTTTGCCATTCAAAGTAAAACAAACACAAAACAAACTCCAGAGAAGTAAGTCCCACCTTAACCTAAAGTTAGATATTCTGAGGATCATTAAGCCCATCTCCTGACTCTCTCAATTCTAGAATATTTTTCTTTACTATTTTATTTCTTTTCTTTTTTTTTCTCCTAGAGACAGAGTCTTGTTCTGTCACCTAGGCTGAAATACAGTGACGCAATCATAGCTCCTAGTAACCTCGAACTCCTGGGCTTGAGCAACCCTCCTGCCTCAAACTCCTAAGTAGCTGGGACTATATAGGTGTGCACCACTATGCCAGGCTAATTTTTAAATTTTTTGTAGAGACAGGGTCTTGCTATGTTACCCAGGCTGGTCTCAAACCCCTGGGCTCAAGTGATCCTCTCATCTCAGTGTTAGGATTACAGGCATGAGCCACTATGTCAGGCTAACTCCAGCTCAATTAATAATACCAGAAGCATCATAATATTAGAAAGGGATCTATCATTTATTACTTCTCTACTATATACTGGATGCTTTCTTCCAGCTAACACTTTCTTCCCTATTTGTGTTTTCTTATCTTTCTCATCTATTTCTAATTTATCTTTTGGATTAGGCATCCTTATATGCCTCTATAATCAGTTTTTTGAGTAACAGGTTAAGATACAAAACATAATACACTCACAAAAATCCTGT